TCGGGCGTTGGGAAGCTCTCCCGGCGGAATGAAATTCGGATAGCGAACTTGTAGGAAATTGCGCAAGTAATAAGCAAAACTGTTAAAAGACAACGAGTATTCGGCGGCTTCATTCCACTTTCTGCTGCTTGTTTCAGATAGCGAAGTGCCCAGGTGATCACGTCACCCCTCAGAAACATGGCCTATTCAGTAGAGAACTAACTCTTTAACGCCGTCAAGCTGAAGTCCACCAGGGCGAGTTTGCCAGAACCACATGAGTTCATTGTGAAGTGACAAATATGTTCGGCTCGATTGCGATCCAAAGTGTATAACCAAAAGATCTCGCATTATCTTGACGACAACCGAGACGGGGTCATCGCCTTCGAGATCAACTGGAGGCATTCACTTCTCCCCCGCTCCGTCACCCTCATCAAGCCTTTCAAGCTGGGAATACTGCGGGCCATTCACAATCAGTTCCACAGTAGGGGGGTCTGGCAAGTCAAGCAAGAAAGCTGTGAGTCCCCCTGATAGTTTTCTGCCTAGCTCCTGCTGCGCCGGGCTGCTCATGTCGCGCCTCCGTGGGCGTGCCAAACGTCTTTTTTGTCATCTTGCAAATCGAATCGCGGTGGGCCCTCTGGGGGAGGCGTCGGAGGCGTAGTTGAGCTCTTCGAACTTCTGGCATCCTGCGCACCCGCCGGCGCAGTAAGCGGAGCATCTCGCAAAGAAGGTTTCCATTGAGGCGGGATGTCTGGTGGAGGCGCCTTCGCCCCTCCCTCGGGCATCTGATCAGGGTCACCTGGCTTGGCCAATGATTTCGAAGCAAGCCCAGGGGGGGGCGGAAGCGGCTCCGACACATTATCTGACAGTGGTTCCCAAAGATTCCTGTCTCCTGAGGCGGGGGTGCCGCGGGAGGAAAGCCCCCTTCTTGAGAGTCGTCATCCGACCCAGCAGCCGTCATATCTCCTCGGCCTGCAGGAAGAGGCGGCGCAAGAGGTCTGGCTGATTTTGGCGGCGGAAGATTCGGTCCCTGATTAACGCCAATGCGCGGGGGCGGCTTGGCTGCGCCAGGAGCAGACCCGCCCGCCGGCTGTGCCGGCGGCTTGGCCTCATCTTCCACTTGGCCATCGGCCGCGCGGTTTCCCCCCTCATTTGCTCCGTCCAAAAACGGGCATTCGAACTTTGAGTTTGCAGCCTCTGCTCTCCAAATGTCCCCGTGCATTGTGCATCGAAGGATCGTGCTCAAGGTGCGGCGCAGCATGTTCCTGCCAAGCTATTGGAAGGAGGTCAGAAACCCATTGGCGTTGCTGGTTGCTGACTTTGTCTACCATTTCAGCTCTCACTTGGCCCTTGGTCCTCTGAGCGCTGAAATCTTTGTCCACAGCGTCGCCGTCTTCGGATGCATTTCGCATTGGCGTCCAAGAGCCACCCCCGATAGCAAAGAACGCGGCGGGGTGCCAATGGTAAATGCGCATCTCAATCATTACTATCTGATCGGTCTTTTCGATGCATTGTTGTGTTGGACCACCTCCACCAGAAACGGGCTTCGGACGACTCCAAGATACAATCCCCGCAGATTGTCAATACGCATCATTGAAAAATTATTCCGCCATCGCGCATCGCGCGTGGGTCGAAGGATTATCGCCAAGGTACGCAAAGGAAAAGATCCCACACTTTTTCTTCACATGTCGGTTCCCCGGACACCGTGCGATCACGTTGGGCAATGAAGAATTCTGCCCAATTCGGGATCACATATTCCGCAGGCAAAACTGGTCGCTTCGCACTGTCTTGGAGCACTTGATCCACCAACCGCGCTTCTCCGTCCGATGGCGCGCACATACGCTTGTAAGCTTCACTGCGCACGAATGTTTCATTATACCTTGTCTTCCGCAACAATTCATCATAGTCTTCTCCTGACCACAAATTGCTATTGCTGTAGAGGCGATTGGCCAGCTCCCTAGCATTCAGGGGCTTCAGGGAGATGACTCTTTCAGTTCCCCCAGTTCCCTCAGTCACTTCAATCGATGACTGATGTGGCAACTCGATGAGCCATCTGCGATCATGATTGCGCCCAACTGGAGGGAATTGCTTCATTCTCTTGCCCAGCTGCATTCCTTGGAACTCAGGGCACTTTTCTTTTATTACGCGCTCCCAATGGGCCGCGGGGGAAACTGCGGCCAGTGCCCCGGCGGGAACGACTGACCGCGCCCGGCGCTTGATTGGGCTCGCGGCTGTGCCAGGTCCAACCAGCCCCCCTGCGCCGCGCGGGCTCTGCGCGGCTGCGCCGGCCGAGCCGGCGGTCGTCGCCGCCCTTCCAGGGCTGACTTGAAACTGATCATCTCGCCGATTTACGGGCTGAGCCCTCGAGACTCGCCACGCCGCCCGTTTGGCAGACCGGGCGGGGGAGGGACAGAGAGCTAGATTGAGAGTCCTCCAATCTATGTGCGATTTGTTGCATAAGTTGATCAATGGTGATTTTCCCCCCAGTGCGCCGCGCGTCTCTTCCCCCAGGGGGCGCGCCAGGAATGCATGGCAAGCTCCTTTCGAGAAGGAAATGGAATTCGCCCCATTGTAAATACGTCTGAAACCCTCTTCCATTCGAAATGAAATCTCGCCAGTCTTGGGAGAACATGGCACGTCGCGCCCCGGAAATGAAATTTGCAAAAGTGGCTCAGAGAGCGGGGGCGCCCCAAAAATCGACGTCGGAGTAGAGTCCTCAGTGAGATACCAGTTGGTCCAATACGACGCATGCTCGTCATGTGCACAACTCATTTTCGCACCCCTTAGGCAGCTGAGCCGCCAGAGGGCTGACAGAAGAACCAGGCCGATGTGTTGCTGCTTTCATCGTGTGATCCGCCAATATTTCACCCCCAACAACCCTTGCCATTGCACCGTGTCTGTCCAATGTGTAAGATCCCTGGTGCTCGGCAAAATTGCATGCATCGAGCGGGGTATGGCGAAATTTCCGATAGAAGCAAGCGCCATCCAAAATCATTATTCTAGGCTGGAGCCCCGCAGCCTCGCACCGTTCAACGCGCTGATTCATGCGTGCCCGCAGCAAAGTGGCAATGTCATCCCACGTGACGTTGCAAACATCGATGATCCCCGCGAACATGAAAAAGCTGGACTGGTCCCGTCTTGGAGCGATTCACCGCCTCATCGGTCATTCTCTCGGCTGTTTCAAAGGAGGGGCCGCGCATCGCTATTAGCACTTGAAACTCAGCGTTCCCCTTCTTCGTTCCGCTGAGCCCCTTGATGTTACACTTGTCTCCATCAGAAATATCGTTCAGGGACCAAAATACGCATTGTAAAGGCGCGCGTGAGCCCGGGGTGAAATTTCCCATGCGGGTCGAAAACTGCTTATTCCACAAATCTTGCCTCATCATGTGATGCAGGAGCGTTCTTCCGCAAGTGCCCCCCTGTATTTCTGCGCCGAGGCATTGGAGACTCTCCGGCGTGAAATATTGACGGCTCGCAGAATTACCAAGCCTCTTGTCTTGTGCATTCCTGAACTGACATGTCCAGTCAGAGACTATGTGAATGGCAGTAGTCCAACAATAGCGTGCTCCGTGAGGCGCTTGGGTCAAGGGCCGGAAGAATTCCCACGGATGTCTGCCGGTCCGCATCATGGCGGCCAAATCCCCACCACTAGAAGGAATCCATCCGTGACTTGTGAGACGCCTGGCCCCACAGAGGGCCTCCAGCGTAGAATGAATCGAACTAACTCTAAAATCACTCAAAAAAAAACATTGCCACATCATGTTAAAACCTCTGAAAATTAGCCGGGGACGTTCGAGCATGGCGATAACCCCGCGCATTCCCAAATATAACAACACTGTCTCGTCCGAATCGGCGGGTGCAGGGGTGGATGATTGGAAGGGCAGGGAACGTAGAGGGCGATGGCTGGCGGCCGCCGAACGGCCCCACGGGAAGTGGGCAAGACTTCTCAGAACACCATCCTGTTTCTCCTCCTCCTCCTCCTCCTCCTCCTCCTCCCGCCCCCTCCCCCCCGCGCCCCCTTTCCTTCCCTCGCCCTCTCTTTCTGAGGTGGGGTTCTTATAAGAAGCCGCCCTCCGCCGCTCCCCCTCCCCTTTCTTCCCCTTTCCCCCCCCCCCCCTCCCCCCCTCCCCCCCCCCCCTCCCCCCCCCCCCCCACCCCCCACCCCCCCCCCCCCCCCCCCCCCGCCCCTCCCCATGCGAGCCCCCCACTTCCCCCTGCCTACGCGAGCGCTAATCTACGCCGCCAAGGGAGCACTACATTGCAAGCACAACCATCAGACGCCGCGAGACATCACACAATTTGGAGCACGGTTTCAAGCTCGAGATCCCCCGAAAGGCCGAAGGCAATGCCGACGCAGATAAAGAACCCATTGGCAAGTGAATACCCGAACAACCAGCAACGCCTGAGCCCGAACATATAGAATGACCACGCACATATACAAGCTCATGCTCTGAGACGGGGGCCGCCCCCCTACCTCTTAACCCACCCCATGCCCACTGCGCCCCCTCACCCTCATCGCGGGGGGGCTGGTAGCCGACCACTGACCGCGGCAAAGCACGGCCGACTGTTTCCAAGACACCTGCACAACTCAATCGATTGATCTCTGAGGGCGCCACGGCGCCGCCGTGGTGTGTCGGGGGTGGCCTTGCAGATCTCCCGCGGTGCCATGTGCATCCGACAAGACGGGGCGCTCAACGAAAGAGCAAGCGCGCTCACACCGCGAGCCCTCTCAAAGTTGTCTAGATTCATTCCTACTACGAGTGAATTCTGCTGGCGGAAGGGGGCAACGTCAACAAAACCCGAATGGGCGATCCTCTCAACACTTGTCAAACATTGTAGTGAACCCCAGCCCCTTCCCCCCGACTGGAGTCGCTCCACGGCCAACTCCCGCAAGGCCGTCACCGACGCGCAGTCGGCGATGACAGTCCAAACGACTACTGGAGCGAAGAAGTACTTGTTACTAACACTCTACAGCCAGGGCCAGCAAAAACGAACGCGCATCCTCGAAGTACCCGAGCTCGGGCTAGCGGCCCAACAAGAAGGCCATCGTGGGCTGGAAGACGCTGATGTGGAGAGCACGGTCCTCCTTCACACCACTGCGGAGCTTCATCCTGAGCACCTTCACTTCGTCCACGATGGCCTGGCGGAGGAGGTCGCTGTTGCGCTCGGTGGTCAGCTTCATTAAGATGACAGCCTCCGCAAGCGTGATCGCGACCCTCTCAGAGACGGCATCGGCACCATTCTTCATGTCGGCGCCCACTTGCAGGCCGCCCCACTTGCACGCCTGCACGTAGTCGCTCAGCAGCACGGTCATCTTGGCATGCTTGTCCTTCAACGGCGTCCACTGGGTGCCAGCCGTCGCGGCCTGCATGTGCTTCGAGACCTCGCGGAGGCTTGCAGTGGGCATGAGGCCCTCCCACCACTCCTTCCCAGAAGCGGTCGCGTACTTCATCTTGTCGGGCTCCTCAATGGCGCCCTTCAGACGGTCCCGAGCCATGGCGACGCGCCTCTCGGCGGCCGCACTCCTGAGATTGACTGCCCAAGTCACCGACTCGTCGTTCCTGTTGCGGAGGTTCAGATCCAAGAACTCTGCATCGCTGTCCTCGGAGATTTCCTTCGCCCTCGGCAGCTTCGCGGCGAGAGCGTCCAAAAGCTGGATGCCCCCCTCGGAGTCGACGACGTCAGCGTCCTGCGAAACCGCAGCCGCAGCGTCTCTCGCCGCGAGGAAGGCGCACGCGTCGGACACGATGCCAAGGCGCTTCGCCACGGTCTTCTCGGGGCAGACCACCAGCAGCGCCTCCAAGCACGCGCGGCCCTTCGACCACTCCTGGAAATTGGGGTGCTCCTCAAGCACCGCGATGATCAAGTGCTGGATGCGGTTGACGCTCTTGGACCTCGCGTCCTTCCTGAGGTCGCGGCCCTTGACATGCGTGCAAGCCTGCGCGACGTCTTTGACGCACTGCGCGAAAAGGTCCAGGTCGACGCAGTTAACCTTGGCGCCCGTCGACCACTCGGGCATCAAGCTCTCGGAGGCCACGAAGAAGCGGTGGCAACGATCAGTGCTATCGATGGTCTGAAGCTCCGATGCCATGGTGTGCTGCAGCTGCTCTACGTCGGCGTCATTCGTGAAAGAAATGCTGGCCTCCTGCACTAGCTCGCTGATGCTGGCCACGGCCTCCGCTTCAAGAGGCCTGACAGCTCCGCCGCGTGCGTCGGCAAGCCCTCGCACCACATCAGGAGGCTTGACACCGCGACTTCAGCTGCTCCATGGACGGTTCCTCAGGCCATGGCATAAGAGGAAACAAGACGACGAGCACAGGTGGGAGCGACGATTTTTGCATGAATAAACCGACTGAATCGATTAAAGACAGGCCGGCCTACGAGGCCCACGGAGGAGCGGTTGGAGCGCACCGAGCGGTCCTGCCCGCCATCGGCCAGCGCCTCCGTCGCCTTCCTGATGCTCGGCAGCTGTTCCCTCGCGAACGGGGGGGGTCCTGAACATCGCGTCGGCCTTCTCCTTGTAGAACGGGGTGGAGGCCACAGCAGCCGCAAGCACGCAACCCGCAGAAGCACCCGTCTTATCCATCATGCCAACGACCCTCTCGAGCTGGTCGGCAATGTCGAGGACCGTGGCGCCTGGAGCAGGCCTGATGCAATGGAGCAGCACTGCGCAAACGTCGTTCACGTCGCTGGCGCATCTAATCTGCGCAGCAGTGCAAGTGAGGTAGTCGGCGTCACCGAATGCGGTAGAGCACGCCGCGAGAACATCGCCGAGTGTAGATTGCGCACGGGGGCCCTTGTAGATCATCCCATTCAAGTGGCCCTTCACAGCGACTCGGATGAACTCGGCAACCCTCTCCTTGTCATTCGGCTCAGCGCCACCAAGGGTAGGGTCCGCAGGGTCGAAGACTCCCGAGTTCATGGGCGACGCGATCCTGACGTAGTCCTCGGCATCCTCGGTGATATTCAGGCTGGCCAACTTGAGCGATGCGAGCTTGAGCCGCGTCTGCCTGGGGTAATCGCAGACGCCGACTTTGGAAAGCTTCATCGCGATATCCTGAGCATCTGACCACGATAAGTCGCCCATGCATTCCGCCCGAAACTTCTCGCACAAAGCCACCTGCGCCTCGAAGACGGCGGGAGTGTCGGCATCAGAGTAAGTCTCCGACTTGGCCCTCAGCCTCCTGATTCGCTTCCGCAGGCCAGCTACAGCGCGACCGTCGACCTCGTTGGACATCACGGACTTCAAGTCGATCTTGGCCTTCCAATGCCTTAGCAAGTCGTCCGCGTGCAACATCTCCTGGCCCTCCTCGTCAGCGGAAAGCATGCTCCCGCTGCAGCTGGCTCCATCGTCGAGAGGGCTGGTGCTGGAACCGCCCCCTGGCACGCCGATCGCCACGGCGGACCTGGACGGCGTCGCGAAGCCAGCGCTCCCGGGGCCCTTCCTCGGCAAGGACGTCGGAGGGGGCATCGAAGAAGCGGCGACGCCTTCAAGGGCACCGTCGCCATCGATGCACTCGACTGGAGCTTTCTCGGAGTCGCCATCATCGCCATCCTTCGCGCCCACCTCGGATTTCAGGAACTCCGCGTGCGTCTGCAACGCCGCCGAGCCTGCCTCGTTGCTGAGCTCGGCACCGTGACAAGAGACGTCGCCATCAAAGATGCTGTCCAAACCCTCATGGAAAACGCGCTGGCCCTGCTGCTGGAAGGCCTGCTTGTGCGATTACAATAGCTTGGTGTCGAACGTCAGCTTCCTGGCCACGCGCATGGCCACCCGGCGAGCGCCCGAGCTGCCCCCGTCAGGGGCATCGTCTGAACCCCCATCAGACTTGAAGAAGTAGACGTGCTCGGTGCCAGTGCCCGTGTCGTTCGGAGCCGACATGCCACACAATGTCTTCGTCTGCCGCTTGAGCAAACGAGACCTGTTCAAATCCTTCTTGAGCTCGGACTCGGTCTTGACGACGATCTCACGCGTGAAGTCGAAGGCCACCTCCGTCGTGTCCGTCACAGCGGACGGGGCGAAGCTCTGCTCTCCAGTTTGGGCGGTCTTGATCGCCTGGTCCACGCTCTCGACCGTCTCGAGCTCCCCTGCCATGTAAAGGTTGATGACCTCGGCGGGATCTGCGGACTGGCCCCCGACGGCCTTGGCGGCCGCCCAGCGCTGGCGGCGCGCGTCCCCGACGGGGCGGCGCTGACCTCCAGACAGGCTCCTGTGCAACGCCCACTCGACGCCCTTGGCCTCGGGAGCGCCGCGCTGATCAATCAGAACAATGCGGGGGCAAGGTGGCCCCCTGCCCCCAAATTGTTTTGATTGATCAACGCGGCGTCGAGGTCCGTGCGACCGCGGGCCGCTTATGAAAACGACGTCAGCGGCGCCGCTTCCGAAACGAAAAAAAAAACGCCCATCCCACCGAGGGAAGGCCGCCCTCTCATCGGGTATCTTCCTTCTCCTCCCGATCACCCTCCTCATCCTGCGCCTCGTCTCCTCCTCCGCTATCCTCGACCTCCTCCTCCATCCTCCTCTTCCCCCCTGCCTCCCTGCCCCCCCCCTCGAGCGGCCTTGGCGTCGTCGGGGCTGCTCTTGCAGCAGAAGCACTCGAGCTGAGCGTCTGCCGCGGCCCTCTTGCCACCCTTGGGTGACTTCGGCGGGGCAGTCTCCTTCCTCTGACACTTGTGCGGGGGGCCATCTGATGTCTTGCCACTCATGCGCACGCGGCCGCCCTTGGCGGCAGAGGCCATTGGTCTGGCGGCAGCTGAGGGGCAGCTGGGAAGACGCCAGAGGGAGGCGCGTGGGAACTCGATCACAAATCAAAAGACTTGGGAATCAAGTGCAACGGAATGTGGGGGGTGGCGTCTGGTTCGCCCACGCGACATACCAACGAAAACAAAGGCCGGCCAGCGACAAGGGCAATCGCATTTCTCTCCGGAGAGGACGATGGGGGAGGGGGCGGGGGAGGCGGGGGAAGAGGGGAGGAGGAGGAGAGGAGGAAACTGATCGCATAAAAAAAACTAACTCTTTGAAGAGGAGGAAGATGAGGGGGAGGAGGAGGAGGAGGAGAGGGGGGAGGGAGGGAGGAGTAGTACGCAGCTGATGAGCAAGTTCGATATTTGCTCCTCCTCCTCAGCCTCCTCCGTTCTCTGTCCTCCTCCTGCTCCTCCTCGTGATCCTCCTCATCCTCCTCCTTTTCCCCCTCATGGAGTCTTGAACGAGGTTCTCTATGATGGGCCCGTTGCGGCGAACAAAGGGGGGGGGGATCATCAACTTGGCTGTGGGCCCCCAAAGTGCTCCTGATGATCCTCGAGATTCGCGTCCTCCTCGTGCTCCTCCCCCTCCCCCCCCTCCTCGCGCTCCTCCTCGTGCTCCTCCTCCTCCCCCTCATCCTCCTGGAGTCCTGAACGCGGTTCTCTATGATGGGCCCGTCGCGGCGAACAGAAGGGGGGGGGGTCATCAACTTTGCTGTGGGACCCCAAAGTGCCCCTGATGATCCTGCTGCCCCTGAGAGGGCGAGCGGGTGGGGGGGGGGGAAGGGGGGGGCGCGGGGCGCCCACTCAATGTTTGCCCCTCGGCCGCGAAGCGCGCTCACTCAACGCTTGCCCCTCGGCCGCGAAGCGCGTCTATTCCTCTCGGAGTAAGCGTCGGAGGAGGTCGAGGTGTAGGAGAGCGAGGGGCAGGAGGCACAGGACCTTCCTAAGTCGCCAAAGCCAAGTGAACACGGATGTCTGACTTGCATCAGCGCCCCCCCCCCCCCCCCCCCCCAGTTCGTCCCTCCCTAGTGGGCAGCGGCAACCTTCAAGAGTTACTCCTGGACCCACGACCTACATTGAAAGTTAGCTTTCCTTCGCCCCAAGGACCCCTGGCCGCGACCTCCGAAAAACCTCACTGCGGCGCTGCCGCGGGCCGCTTAGTTGCTGGGCACGCTGCGCCCAAACCCACTTTCAACTAACCCAGAACTAACTCAAAACCAACTCAGAATGGCCCAGAACTAACTCAACACTAACTTTCGGCAATTTCGCTAAGAGGGGGGGAGCAAAAAACTAACCAAAAACTAGCTAAAAACTCACTTTTCCCACTGGAAACTAACCAAAAAAAACTAACTTTTCTCGAGCGGGGGTTGGGTTTCCCAGGGGAGGCCGGCACGGCGCCCGAACCAGGCGTTAAAAACTAACTCAAAACTAACTCAAAACTAACCCAAAACTAACTAAAACTGTAAAACACTAACAAACCAACGTAAACAACTAACTCAAACCGTTGAAACAAGAGAGAGAGAGAGAGAGAGAGAGAGAGAGAGAGAGAGAAACAAACAAAACAAACAAACAAACAAAAACCCACAACTAATAGTTGTCGCTGTGAACTAACCCCAAAACTAGCGTTTTCCCAGACATGGTGCTGTTTCCTGAACAGGATCGGCCCCACGGCCAAAAAAAACACAGACCGAAAGTAACTCCCAGCTTCCCAAAACTAGCTCAAACGAGACACAACTAACTCAAAACTAACTGAAACCTGACGCGGTCCTCTTGCCGCCCCACAGACCCGAGACACGCATGCACACCCGCTCAGAACCTGCCAAATACTAACTCAAAACTAACTCGAATCAGACGCCCTGCGAAAACTAACTCTAAAATAACTTTCAAAGACCTTCCAAACGCAACACCAGGACCCAGCGAAACTGCCGCCGAGTAGCTCTTGAGGGTTGCCGCTGGAACAAAGGATTGCACAATATAACTTTCACTGCTTTTCAGCCTCTCCCCTCGAAGCCAGCAGTGCGCTGTGGCACTCCAGCTCAGAGTGGCCCGATCAAGTCGGCAGGCTCCTCAGGCTCGCCAGCAGCCGCGGCTAGGTCCCGCTCGAAGCCCAAGAGCTCTGGGCCGTGGTCGAGCACCGCAACCTGCGTCCGCTCTGCAAGCCTGATCCCAGCATCCCCGATGGAGTTCCTTAGAAACTCGCTGGACTTGCGCTCCTCGCGGGTCTCGGCCAGGTGCGACGCGGCGAGCCGCGCAGCCAAGAAACCGCATGGCAGTCCGCCACGCGGGATGCCGTCCGCGCCAATGAATTTCTCGTTCGGCGCCCTCCTCACAATGCATCGGCCGTGCGCCTTGTTCGGGCAAACGGCCTCGAAGTTGGTGTAGCGGACGTAGTCGCACAACCGCCCTCCATGGATCCGCACAGTGGCGTCTGCGCCGATCCGGTCACGAGCTGGGCCAGCTGGCGGCGGCGGCGGCGGCGGCGGCGCAACAGCAGCCTCCGCCTCCTCGCCAGGTGGGGCGCCGCCCGCTGCGCCGCCCTCATGCGGCCCGCGGTCGCCATGTCCTTCATCAAGCCCGCCTCCAGGCGCCATGCCGTCGCCAACCTCGCCCTCGTCTAGCTCGTCGACGAGGGCCGCCGCGTCGTCGCCGCCGCCGTGCTCACGGGCCCCATCGGCACCATCGCCATCGTCGTATACGTCAGCGGCCGGCTCAGCTCCCCCATCGTCCTCCAAGGGCAATGGCCCGCGGCCTCTGCCGCCAGCTCGGCCGCCACCGCGGCCGCCGCCTCGACCGCGCCCGCGCGCCCGACGCGGGGGCGGCCACATCTGCTCAGCGGCGTCGCGGCCGCCGAGCGGGAGCAGCGGCGCAATGGCGGGGTCCATGTCTCGGATGTGCACTGGCGTGGACTCAAGGGCGAACCACTGCACGCTCCATTCAGGCCTGTCAAGAAGTGGAAGCAGCGCTTGGTACATCACCTTGAACTCTCTGCGCGCCTGCACGTACACGCGATTCGGTTTGAAAGCCAGCTCGCCTGGATCTGGGATCTGCGTCAAAATCTGAAACGTAGGTTCATAAGGTGACCAATAATGAAGCCCAATGTGGGGCCACACGTCCAATGAATCAAAGCCGAGAGCACCACCGCCGTGTAAATGAAGAACAACCCGACCCCGATCAACAGCGTCTCGCTCGAACGTCCCAACTTTTGCACTTGACTTAAGGATTGTGAGGAATCTGGACACCCGCTGGGCCAATTGTAGGCCTTGGCCCTTATGAACGCAGAACTCTGCGCGCTGGCACTGACTTTGCGATTGCACCGTGTGGGTCGCCAACTGCGGCCCCTGCAAATCCAGGACAAGGCTACACACCTCCTGCCAGTACGCCTCCAAGCTAGTGCAAAGGTTGGTACGGTGAGTCTGGTGAGGCGCCCACCCCAATGCCTTCGATACGAAGCCGCCCATGTCGAAAGCAGACTCGAAACACCTGACCTTGCCAGATAGTGGAACAGACGCCCAAGATCCCGATAATATACAATCCTGCATTGGATGTGAAACGCTCTCTGCCGCACGCTCCCTGCCCAAGCCCTCGACGTAAGTCTGGATGGCGTCGTCGTCAGCGTTGAGCTCCTGGGTCCGCCGCCGCGAAGCCGCAGCGCTCATCCTGCGAAGGTGCTTCAAGCAATCGTCAGTGTTCGCGAAAGACTCTGACATGGCACGGACCTGGCCAAGACGATCGCGAGGCAGCGCCGCCGCCACCTGGAGGCCACCGGCAGCCCTGGCACCCACGGCCGAGCGTCGCCTCGAGCTCGACGCAGTTGGACCAAATGACGAACCAGGCAGCCCACGTCGGTGTGCAATCGTAGCCAAGCGGCCAGGTTCTGCTAAGCGAGCCAGCTGTTCTGGCGTCAGGGCTCGACGACGGCGATGCGCCTCAGCCATCGTCATCTTGCCTCCAGCGTTCATCAGACACTGCCGCAAGAACAGCCTCGCGACGCCTCCACCGCCGCGAGCCTTCTTGGTGTTCTTGACTTGTTTCTGTCTGTGCTGCGGTGGCTTGGCCAGCTTGCGATGGCGCTGGTTGGCAAACCTCTTCCGAACGTGCAAGCACACCCACTCAGAGTTCAAGTCCCCAAAGGTCATGCGGTGCGTCTGGCACGACTTTGACACCAAATGACGACGAGTGGTTGCGAAATAGTTCTCGACCCGTGCGTTGTCTTTCCTGAACTTCCAAGCGACGCACAGCAACTTTGCGAGGCACTCGTCGTCATTGAGGGCAGGGTGGTCCACAATCAACTCTTTGACCCAATCTGTCAGCACGCGCTCTGAAGTTTGCGCCATGATGGGGCCCAGCTCGGGGCGCTCGAGAAGCCTGAGGACTTTCGTGGGGCAGCTCCGTCGATCGTGAGAAACCTCGAGGGCGGCAGCGGGGGAGGGAGGAGTGCGACGACCGACGGAGAGGGATGCATCCTGAAAAAAAAAAAGTTTTTCAAACGAAACATGGCAATGACACTCGGTATGAAGGACCAGGGCGAGAAGGGGAAGCAGGCGGAAGGCGGGCTGGCGCCCGCGCGCACCTTGCACTCCGTCACGCAGCCGACCCGACTGAGGAGCGAGAAGATCATCGCGCGGAACTCCACGGTGGTGCAGTCACCAGGCAGCACGCTCCACATCACCTTGTTGCCGTACAGCGCCGCGAGCTTGCGGTGCCCCGCCTTGCCCACGCCCCCCTCGCGACAGCAAGACCTGCAAAGCCCCTGATGAGCAAGCTGGTCTCGCCGTTGATCAGCGCCCTGGCGGCGCTGGCTGTCTGGCTGCGCTCCCACGCAGCGGAGCGAATCTTGAAGTTGAGCTCGGCCATCGTCTTCATGCACTCCATGGCGCACCGCGAGACGATCTGCAACCCCGGCGGCTCCTGCTCCAACCACGCTGCCGCCCGCTGCCTGCGAGAACGGATGGCCGCCATCATCCTCTCCTTGTCGGCCTTCGTGCCAGCAATCA